GACCACAATTTACAAGATGTGAGGTCCAAGATTTTCCCATACAAAAAAAGAAAGGTAGAGGCACCTGAAGTTCCAGAGTCAGTTGCATTACCAGTTACTAGAAGAAAGGAAAGGTCGCTCTCATCATTGGTGGTCAGCACTCCTAAAGTTTCCACGCACTCTACTACAACAGGAAGAAGAACGAAACCTTTTCCAAGAAGGGCTGCTGCTTTACGAGGTACCAATTTTTCCATTGAAAAAACGAATAACAAGGAACATGTTCCTGTTGAAGATGGTCCAGAGAGCTCAAGTTCACCCGAAACCTTGAAAAAACCTAATCAGAACATAAAGCAGGTAAATATTAACCGTTATATCAACTTTGTGTGGATACCTAATATCATTTTAATTGGCTGTTAATATAAACGTCCACTTTCGTTTCTAGTGTCTTGACAAGCAGTCCAATTTTCTAAGAAGTCTAAGAACTGCATGTTTAACAAGTGTATCTTGACAAGCAGTCCAATTTTCTAAGTCTAAGAACTGCATGTTTAACAAGTGCAGAATTCTCCCTTTACTGAACCCAGCCAACCTGTTCCTGATGAAGCAGAGAATGGGACCGAACCAAGGGATGGGAAATCAGATCTCTGGCAACCTTTAAATTTTTTGGTGGAAGTTGCGAACAGAACCAAGTCATTCAAGTCTAGTCCCCAACTTAATGATGCTAAATCAGAATCTCGACCTGTCCATGACAATGAACCTCGAGCGCTTAAAACCAAATTTAAGGAAAACAAAGGCAGATCAAAAGTAAAGGATGAAAAGAATAATATTGATAATGTCTCTGAGGGACCAGTGGAACCAAAAAGGTTGCGCAGAATACGTCAAAAAAGGGCAGTGTTTAATAACATTTCCGGCATTTCATCCCCAGCAGTGCTGGACACTGCTGCTGCAAAGCAAGAAAGAAGAAGTGGTCCTGTTTGGTTTTCATTATTGGCTTCTGAACAGTGAGAACCAACTCCAGCTCTTTAACTAGAAGAAACTTTCTGTACTAGGAGTCTAGAATATTGAAACGTGTTTGCTTGCTTAAATGTATTTTCACTGTGTTCATATAGTTTTTTCACTTCTTTTTCTCAGAGAAGGAGAAGCACCCTTGCCACAAATTCCTTCAAGTTACTTAAGGCTAAAGTGAGTTTCTTTTGTCTTCACTGCAATATTGTATGAACTCTTCATCTCATTTGCTGGATACTTTACCTTTTGTTTTGTTATGATTTATGAAGATTCCTTCCTGGCTTTTTTTATTGTGAAGATATTATTCCAAGTTTTTGGTACTTGGTAGCTGGGAGTACAGTGAAAAAATTTGCTCACGTTATGCTAGTAGATGCTAGAACAGCAGTCACTGCCTGAGAGAGTAAGCTTAACCTTTAATCATGCTTAGGTTAGAGGCTTAGAGCTGTAAAGATGAAGGGAAGGCCTCCAAGGATGTAGTTGAGGTGGTAAGAATTGTGAGAAAACATGGTAGCACATATTTGTGAAAACAATGAAATTTATTTTCATTGAGGCATCTTATTAATCTAAAGTCATCCTTCCTCTGCTACACAACTCATTCCTTCTAGAGGTCTGGAGGTTGCAGTATGGAAAGTGCAGGTGGGACAGCCAATTGACCTATCGATTTCAGAGAGTGTATCTCGAGATGTATTTTACCAATCCTAAAAAGGGACAGGTTATCTATATTGACTAACTATTTAATAGATTCCATGCGCATCTCAGCATATATGTAGATAGTTTCGGTCTGTAACTTACAGCTAAACCAGTCATTAAAACTATGCTGGTCCGCTTTCAGTCCCACCTGATGGAAGGCGCTGCTGACAACCTGAAAAACCACTAATTCCTCCCAAAATTTAAGGCCCATTTTAGATATTGTAATAGGCCACTTAACGTGTCGCTTTTATGCTTATTGAATTGTTTGACAAGTTTTCTCACATTCAAACTATTCAATAGTCCTCATAAACACACTGGAATCTTAATTTGTAAATTAATTTAGTTCTGTGCACTGTTGTTGTGCTAATTTATGCCTGTTACCTATTATTTTGCCGTCATTTTTCAGCATTTCTTTTGGCTACTTTTCAGTAATTAAAATTTGAAATAAGAAAATAAGCTTTTTTGGTGAATAAAGTAAAGCAATCAACTAATTCCTGGAGATGTTTCACTTATTTCGCCCTATGCCAGGAATGGAAATGTACCTGTTTCTTTCATCCAGAAGTACTTGATGAAGAAGCTAGACCTCGCTAGTGAAGCTGAGGTGAGATGTCGTTGACAAGCTTTACGTTCAGATCATTTTCAGTTTCAATTAGTTGTTTTTTTTTAATGCAATTACAAAACAGTCTTGGACCTTGGATTACCATACCCTATCAACTCCAAGTTGAGCTTGCTATTGTGTTCTTAGGCACAAGTTCTTGTCATATTAAAAAGGTTGAAGTACAAGAGATCTCAATTAAGCACCAGGGTCATCAAGTTTTGTCTTTAACAATGCATGTGCTGCTCTCTTCCTTTTCTTTTTTTGAGCCCTGCATTTTTCATTAGCGTACATTTTTCATGAACCAATAATCTCATTAATCCTGTCCCCTCTTAAAGTCTGACTTCTGTTGCATTTGCTCCTGCAATAATGTGAGCAGAATTATTATGAATCGGAAATTGTTTCTTTCTTAGGAAAACAAATATTTTGGAAGTATTCTGCCATTAGTAAAGGTTGAACAAAGTATTTATTTAAATCAAAAGGAAGCATTTTCAATTAAGCAGCAGAAACTATAGCAAATACATTATCATTTTGCCTCGTGGGCGTTCAATAACAGTTTTAGCACAGAAAAAAGCTTGTCTAGTTCTCATTCTTGTAACTCCTCTGGTTGGTATTCTTTCAGGTTGAGATCAGATGCATGGGAAGACCAGTGATCCCTACATTACTATTGTATAATTTAGTTGATCAGTGGCTGCAAACAGTGCCAAAGACCGATCAAGTACCAGTAACTGCAGGTTCCTCGGCAAAGGATTATGTGATGGTGCTTGCCTATGCTCGAAAGGTCCCAAACCAATAACAATGCTTTTTTCCAATTTGTTGTTCCACCACATCATCAACAATCCATATGCTTCTTTGAATCCCGGAGGGTAACAAAGTGAAATTTTCTCCTCGGCTTGTATATTTTGAGCATGTCGTTCATGACTAGTTCCTCCACAATATCTGTGGAGTCTTTGGTTTATCCACACCAGGCTGCCGCAGGGAAACAGAGGGTGAAAAGGAATTCTTCGATTCATGATCATATAAATGCAGGCAATCTGCACAAGCTGGTTAGCCTACAGTGATGAGGTGCGCGTTCACGGGTGTTCTTCCAGGTACTGTCTGATTACACACCACCTAGCGCAAGACTTTCTACGGAGACCACATCTTTCTTGGCTGCGTGTTGCATGATATGCGAGCTAGATGATGCTCTATTTGTTTAATCAGACTTACGCTCCCATTGTTTTCTATGGTTGATTATTCATTGTAGGCAGAGATGGACCTGCTTCGTTGGCTGCCCTCCACGATAGAAAGTTCTGTTTTTTGAGCCTTTTTTTCGACTGCATTGAGATTTCAGATTTACCCCAGTTATTATTCCTAGGATATTAGGATTTATTTAACTATTAACAAGATGCGACCGATAAAATAATTATTAATTAAAAAAATGTTTTTTTAATGGGTAGTACTTTATGTATGATAGAGAAAATAGTTATTAAAATTTAATACAAATTATAACTAGTATAAGTTATCAATTTGAACTCAAACTCGGATTTTCTACATTTTATTTAGTATACTAACAATCTTTGCTATGTTCATACGCATGGTATGTCACATACAAAAATTCTTAATTAGAAAAAAATAAATTATCTGCAATATATTTTTTATCTGTGGCAAAAAAGAAGTTATGTCACACAAAAAAAAGATTTTTTTATGCATTATTAACTATTCTTTCAATACACACAGAGTTAAAAATAGAATTTCTTCACGTTTAAGTTTAACTTATTTAATAATAATATTAAGAACTACATATTGAAAAAAAATTCAGTCCCATCCACGTGCTAAGGGAAGTAACCAGGTAAATACATGTAAGGGGATCGTCTGCACATGATTTTTTGCACGAACTTGCTGGGTATTGGCGGTGGCTCTCTCAAGAGCTAAACGTCCCATTTAAGAACTGTCCGGCGTCGTCGTTATATATAAGCATCGAGTAGATGGGCCGCCCGGTCTTCATGCCCTCTGAGTCAGTTCATTATCTAGGCCCGTCTAGACTGAGGAAAAGATCGACGAAAAAAGATTCTTTGTGATCAGGAATCGCATTTTTAATTCTTACAAGACTAGCAAAATTCCTGACACTTAGCAGCTAAGTGTTCTATAATAATTCACTTGCTAGGTGCACTGTAGTTTGCCGCTTTCTTTCTTCTTTTTTTTTTTTTATAAGAACAAGAGTTGTCCTCTTCTCTCTTTTTATCATTTCATGTTCTCTTATTCTATTTTAGTAATTTTTTTATTCACATTTTGCATCGAATAAAATCAAAACACGATATTAAACCTTTAAATTTCATCTTAGCAAGAGTGCGATTTCAACAGGACTATCTGGAGGAACCACAGGCTTCTAACGGCTATCTAAACCCTCCACAAAACAATCAGCGGTGCCCTCACTATGATGGGATGGATAATAGGAAACTATGCAAATAAATGCTGTGAAAAGTATGGGTTTTTGATAACCTCTATGGTAAATTCAAGTTGCATAACTTGACCTTCATAACATGGACATAGGGGGGGAATGAATGACTCGAGCTTCAGAGATGCCACCATCGATTTTACAACACACAAAATCACGACGCAACTTCAGATGTATTGTACAAAAAAAATCAGCTTCATGGGATAGGATTTCGTAAAACAGCCAAATATTCTTCCTTCAACTGCTAAAAAGATAGATATGATATACATGACCTTATCATTATCAAACATACAATTGGAAAAATAAATCACTAATTCATCACATTCCTCGAATGAACGCTACCAAGGCATCACAACATGAACTGAAAATGCATGAGAGAATTCGTGAGAAGACCATAAGCATAAGCAGATATTACGGTCACAGTACTTAAAAGAGATCGCCACTGAATGAATAATCTTACACATTCCATAGACCCATCAAAAAACAAAAAAAGAGATCACTTCCGGAACCACTCCTCCAATCAGGCACAAAACAAGCCAGGAACCAAGAACTCTTCCAAAAAACTAGCGGGCAAAGGGAGACCCATGGTGAAAGAAGCTTTTAAAGTCACAAAAACATGGATTGTGACAACGGGAAAGCCACTAACTTTGCATGGCCAGTGGCAGCAATATTGCTAACTTTCCTTTGTCAATTTTCACTTGCAAGTTCCTCAAATGGAGCCAATCCACCTTTAAATGAAAATTCTTCCGCAATATTTTCGTTGCAATTCGAGAGACTCAACGTTATTGCGTATAAAGAAAGACCCGTACTTCGAAACTTATTGGCAACCATCTGGACCATCTCTGTTCGTGAAAAAAGGAAGCCAAAAGGAGACCATCACGCACTTATGCCACTTTTAAGCCCAAGAAAATGGAAATTCAGAGTCAGTCCCCACCTTTCAAAAAAATTTACACAAAAAAAAAAAAGACTAGTAGTATCCTTCTCTTGCATTTCTAAGTTCAGATCCCAGACTTCCACTAGAACACCAACCTTGTACCCTGCTATATCCGGATGTTTGCGTACTGTAACCAAGTTCACATCAAAACAAACAACACTGGCGATTGCACCAATCTATTCACACCAACGGGCTGGTAACTCATCGGTGCTCTCTTACACCGTGAGAGCTAGGATTTGGGTTCGAGTCCCGGATCAGTGAACACACAATTTTCATCTCAAAAAACAACATTTTTACTACGAATTCATACTAAAGCAACTTCAGTTTAAACCTAACAAAACTCATACAAATTTAAGTGTACGTAGAAAACCAACAACATATAACATCAACAGCAATAGAGAAAAGGACTCCAATAAAAAGAAGAAGTGAACACATTTCTGCATTAAAATCCAAAGAAATCATTTATTCCCACCATAAGAAGTACTACTTCCTTTAACAACACTAAAGAAGGTACAAAACACCGTCATTAACCAGCTGTTTCTTCACTGGTTCTTCAATCATAACAACATTTACAACACAGTCATCCCACAAAAAATTAACACTACCCTATTAAGAAAAAACCTAAAAAAAAAATAAACAAGAGAAAAAAAATCGAATCAGGTCAAGATTGATCATCTAAGAAGAGAAAAAACCGCTGCTCCTGCCGAAATTATGTATGTTTTAGCAGACTTGTGCGTATGAAATTAAATTCCAGCAGAAAAATATGAAATCCAAAGCTAAGAATCTTACTTTTAAAAGCGAGTGTGGCCAGCTCTCGTGGGACTCCCCACAACAGAAAGCAAACTTCCATCAGCCACATCTTGCTCATCCGAATACAAATCATCAGTTCTTCTAAACGCAGCGTGCAAGACAACAATAGCAGCTCCAATCAAAAGCGAAACCAAGACATTTAACCACACGTGTGTGAAAATCAAAGCAACAACAGTAGCGACACCGAGCAAACCAAGCACCACACGATCATCAATCGTGCGGTGGAAAATCACCAATGGCTGGTCACGAAAGAAGTAAAGGTAAAACCAGGCGACGAAGACGATTAAGAAGACAATCATTGAGAGAGGGTGCCATAAGAGGCTTAAGAAGAGGATAGAGAGGATTATCATTGTGTAATTAACGCGAAAGTAGGAGAGGTTCCGTTTTATGCGGATTGTGGTATCGCCGAGGGACAGTGGGCGCGCGAAGGAGGAGAATTCAATTAATTCGCGCCATGGGCGGCGAGTGGCGAAGATGGTGGATGTCGTATATGTCGTATTGATGGCGCGTGTGAGGAAGGTGGACGAGGGCGCGGTGGGTGGGAAGGAACCGTACGAAGCTGGAGATGGAGAAGTCATTGAGAAAGACGAGAGAAGAGAGATCGGTTCGTTGTTACAGAGGGAGAGGCGGTTTTGTGGATCTCTATAAAGAAGGCATTTCCTATTTTAATGGCTAGATATTTGTCGGGAAAGAGCGCAGAGGGCATAGGCTTGTGAAGACGACGCCGTGTTAGGCATTTTAAAGAGGATGTGGTGTCGTTTCGGCTTCTTTAGCGTGCGGGTGCGGGGACGCGGGCGCGAGAGGAAAGGGAAGGCCAGGAAGGAAGGGGGGAGTCCACTGGGTCCAATAATGAAAATATGTTATAAAATTTGAGAGAGAGAGCCTAGACAGGATAATCAACGTCCAAGCTGTCACGTTTATGGGCATTGTTGCACTCTCTCCTTTTCTTTTCTTTTTTAATTTTGAAAACAGTTTTTAAGACATAGAAAATACAAAATAATTGTATAAGAAAAACTAACAACCGGGACATCAAAAAAATCAGCATGGCTAGTGAAAAATTGCAAATAGTTTTTCTATAAAAAAATAAAAATAAGGCAAAAATACAAAATTGGCCCAAGTCTTACAATTATGCTTTGCTACAATTAAAGAGAAAAATCCCCTCATGAAAGATGGACAAAAGAAAAATAAAATTATAAGCTAATAGCTTGCAAATCAAAAGTAGATAAGGGATGTGGTGTGAGATAGGAGGAGTAACTTTTTTCTTCCTTGCCAGCGAGTTTGCGTCCAGGGTCATCCACTGCAACTGGGGTGCCGTACGGGGAAGATTGGAGTCAGGGAGAAGCACCTACTCTACACGAGTAACATGTTCGTGAAGCTTCAGCGAGCTCGGCATGCTCTTATCTACTTTGTACGCAAAGCAAGAAACATGAAGATCTTGATGATGCGGTGCGATCACTTAGGCGGTGCGACTAAAGGCTCAGAGCAACTGATGTGAGCTTCTTCGCAGTGCACAGATGGAACTTCTCTTGCTGGCATTCAGATAGTTTTCATCACAAACATTTGGTTGATTGCATTATGTAAAAGCTCTTATAGCAGGGCCACCACCTACTGAGTTAATTTCCCTTTCATTAAATGAAGAAAATCTCTGTTATCCATGGATAAGAAATAGATTGATAGCTACCGATTGTGTATATTTAACTGCTTGACTCGCTGAAATAATGATCTTGATGAGAGAAATCAAGACGGCTCAGGCACAAAAATAAACTTGCAGATTTGTCAAACGGTATACCATTATATAATTTCACACCCATTGCAGTACCAGCACAGCCAATCGAGCTGAACGTACCCACTGCATTCACCCATCTTAAAGAGTGGATATCAGTGAGCCGCGAGAGAGAGTTCAAAGGCTCCAAAGAAGATAATGAAGTGCTGTAATGTCAGCATACATTCCTTGTGATAATGCTTGTAAACAGCCTGCAGAGGAAAGGAATGCAGCAATTTGAATGGCCATGTTATTGCCCAAAGAAGCCACCTGCTGAAAAAAAAGCAATATATCAGTAACCCCAGAATCCTTCAAGAATCAGATAAACAGATGGTGAAGAAAGCAAAAACTAGAAATCCCATTAATTTTTTACGGAACAAACAATGCATTTGAACATTCCTCCTATCCCATCTCCACGAAGACGCAATCAATAGACTCCATGATGATATTTGGAGTTCTGGCCCATTTTCTATCTAACCGAACGGGTTGCCACCTTACAAGAGCAAAATGAAAATTATGGGTCTGATAACCTCTATGGTAACCTTCATATTAAAGTAATCAATTTCATAGAATAGGATCTAGTAAAAGCGCCAAATAATCTACCTTCACATGCTAAAAAGACAGAAATGATATACAGAACCTTGTCAGTATGAAACATGCAATTGAAAGAAATAAATCACTAATCCATCACTTTCCTCGAATGAACGCTACCAAGGCATAACAACATGAGAGAATTCGTGAAAAGACCATAAGCATAATCAGATATTATGGTTACACTACTGCAAGAGATCACCACTGAATCATCAAAGAAAATAATCTTACACGTTCCGCAGACCCAGTAAGAAGAGAGACTTCTGGAACCACTCCACCAATCAGGCACAAAACAAGCTAGGAAACAAAAACTCTTCCAAAAACTAGTGGGAAAAGGGAGACCCATAGTGAAACTAGCTTTTAAAGTCACCAAAACAAGGATTGTGACAACAGGCAAGCCACTAACTTTGCACGGCCAGTGACATCAATATTGCTAACTTCCCTTTGTCAATTTTTCACTTGCAAGCTCCTCAAATGGAGCCCATGCATTAGATCCAGCTTTAAATGAAAACTCTTCCGCAGTATTTTCGTTGAAATTCAAGAGACTCAACATTATTGCAAACAAAGAAAGATTCGTACTTTTAAGCATATGGCAAGCAACAATCTGGATCTTCTCTGTTCGTGAAAAACAGAAGCCGGAAGGAGACCTTCACGCACTGATGCCACTTTTTTCTGTGCTTTGGAACGGTAATCGCATGTATTAAATACATTTTTATTTTTTATTTTTAAAATTTATATACAATTAAATCACACTTGAGGATATGTTTTAGAATTCTGATCCATTAGATTAGTTAATAGGTTGGTATAAATATAAATTTTAATTTTAAATAAAATATAATTAAATAAATTAAATAATTAAGTTAATATCAATTTAATAACTAATTAATTTATATGTAAAAATCAAGTATAATATTTAGCAATATATTATGATCTTTTAAATATTAATTAATTAATTTATATGTAAAAATCAAGTATAATATTTAACAATATATTATGATCTTTTAAATATTAATAAAGTTATAAGTGGTTTTACTTAATATTTCAGTGATTAATTTTCAATGTAATTGTTATTCGTTAATTAATATTGTTATGCTTTATACATTATAGTACATGGTATGTTTACTATATCAAATCATATTTATTTTTAATATTATAGTGATTGATTCTTTAAATAAGTTATCGTCTTGATTTTTTTAATCAATTGATATTTTCACTAGTTTTTCGAGTTGTTTTTTGACTTGTAGAGTAAATCGTGTCATATCTAGTAAATCTCATATAATTTATTTATTTTTTATTATAAAGCATGTTAATAACCTTTAAATATTTTTTTATATTCAATAAAAAATTGATTTGGCCCGCAGCATGATAAAGGTAATTATCTAGTATATTGTTATAACTCAATTCTGGATTATTTTTTAAAATTTATTTTTTAAAACTAAAAAACAATAAAGACCGGTAACGTGAAGAAAGCAGGTCGGGAAATTAAGTAACAATTTTGGAGAAACTTTTAAGACTTAATTGTACCACATTATACACAAAATAAAGAAAAATACAATTTCAAGATCAAATTAAATGATTATGAGATGGATTTGCATAAAAATTAAATCTAAAGACATAGTTAAATTTTTAATAGGTCAATTTGATATTAAATTTTAATCATGTTTAAGAATTAATTTGAGTCTAATTGAAGGATTTAATTAAGTGCAAGGACTTAATTATACTTTAAATGGGTCAAATTAATTTTATTTGGGATTTAATTGGTGAAAAATTAAGTTTGGGAGCCTAATTTGGGCTTAATTGAGAAGATTATAATTTTAAAAGACCAAACTTAATTTTTAACAAGTTAATTGATTGAAATTAGAGGCCAAATTGCAAGAAAATTAAAGTTTTTGGGTCAATTAGGGGTTAAATTGATAATATTCGCACTTAAGAACCAATCTGCAAAAGGTGCCAAACTATAGGGGTTCAATTAACAAAAATTAGGAGGAAATTAAAAAAATTGAAAGTTTTAAAATCAATTAGAAGTTAAATTGCATACAACCGAGATCAAGAGCCAAAGTGCAAAAAACGCATAAATTTAAGGTTCCAATTGAAGTTCCGTACAGGCTAAATTGCACCACATCAAAGATTCAGGGTTAATTATAAATGTAATTACCCAAATTAAAAACTAGAAGACTAGATTAAACTTTGACAAAACCCTTAATTTAACCTTAACATGCATTATTTTGATGATTTTTTTTTTAAAAAGGAGATAATTAGACAACGCGTCGTCTGGTTGCTATTCATTGTCTTTTTCTTTTACTCGAAAAATATTGCTCATGTTACCTACTTTACAGGTGCATTTAATGAATTTAACGTTCATTAAATTTGACAAATCTTACACACAAATAGAAAATTATTTCATGGTCAATGAAAATAATGTCCTGTTAAATGGACGTGTTGAAAGATTATTTCCTAGTAAATAAAAATAATATCCCATTAAAATGGATATATTGGTTGAACTATTTTCTTTTCTTTCTTACCTCAACTTCATATATAATGTACTAATTAATGGACAACTTGAGAAAGTCATATCCTGGTTAATAAATAAGATATCTCATAAAGGATTGACAAAAATAAAATTTAGATCAAATGTTTAAGTTAATTTTTGTAGTGAAAATATTAATATTATGTTTTATATCTTTTGTATATTACAGAATTTAAAAATATCTAAATTATTCTTTTACTAGATATATAATCAAGAATAATATCCTTACTTTAACTGGTAATATAGTTTTGTTGTATTTATTTTGAATACATTTGTGTCCTAAGAAATTAATGTTATTTTAAATAAATTAATTTTAAATGCTGTATATGAAATCATACAATTTTTTACTATATAAAAAATTAACAATATACAAGCACTATAGCTTCTTCACGCCTTTTAATATTACTTATATATAATAATAATAATTAATATTATAATGGTAATTATATTATAATATATATATATATATTAATTAATATTATAATGGAAATTATATTATAATATATATATATATATATTCATTTTTTTGGTTTTTTTTTTTGTTTTTATGTCTTTATGAGTTTTTTTTTTCTTTTTTTGTTGTCTTTTTTTTCTTTGGATAATTTTTTTTGTCAAGTTTAGTTTGTTAATGAATCTTGAGCTTGACGAGTTAACATGATTTGACAAGTTAACCTGGAATTTTATTTTTTTTACTTTTTTTAATTATTTTTTTAATTTAGTTTAGTTTGTTAATGTTAATTTTTTTTCTATTTAATTATCAGA